GCGAAAATAGCTAAGGAACTGTTACGTGGCGGGGTAATTCATGACCCAAGCCATGAATACGGTGATTACATTGCCTCGAACGATCCGCTTGTACCGTAAAATACGTTTTCGTTCAGCCTTTCTGATAGAAACTTCAAGTTTACCTAACACACGTGAAATCTCAACGTTATTGCGAACAATTAACTCATCCGGTTGATAATTAAGCAATCATTCATTCAGACAAGGTATTCGCGATGATAATTCATTTTATTACGCTAAAATTACATTAAAAAATTCTTACACCACTGTTTGCATCAAGAATCTGCCCGATCGAGAGGCTAAAATGAACCAAAAAAAGGATGATGCGCGATGGTACAGAAATAGTCCCATTCGGTTGGGAGTCAAAACCGGACCTCTCTGTTACCAGAGATTAAATCCAGCCGATCCTTGCGGTTCCTTCGAATCCTTTGGAATGTCTATCGCCAATACGACCAAACAAAATGTTAATCCGATTAACAGCCAAATCTGACATATTTTCGCTAGCGTGAATAACTGAGCTATTTTAAGAATCCCTTTGTAATTGTTGTACCTGTATCAAGAAGAATTAAGAAAATTACTAGAGCCATTGGGTGTGCCATTAAATATCCGAATATCAGAATTCAGTGTATAGCGGAGGAAAGGGAATTACGATATATTAGTCACACCTCGTGCTTATAAATAAAAGAAAGAAGTTGTTCAACGTTCCGCGGTAGAGGATGAGACAAAGGAAGCGTCGAGGTCCGGTCAAAGGAGGATCCGTTCAAGAGCATCCTGTCGATGAAATTTTCGCGATACTCACGCGTTGATGCACTCTTCTGGCCAGGGATTACGACCTTGCAGCCGCAAATCCGGGATTCGATCACGTTCGCCTTGCCATTAGAGACCCGGTCGAAACTCGCCTTTTCTTTTCGTGCGTCGATCACCAGCCCGCCATGGGAAGTTAACATTCCGGTGGCGTCGCCCGTGATCCCAACTCCGTAATCTAAGGCCTTTCCACTCGATGTAACCACGATCGTACGGTACATGGGTCCCTTTCTTATTTCTCCTATGAGCCACGCCTAGCACTTGCCCCGTGGAACCATTTACACACCCTTCACCATACACAGAACTTCGACAGGAATCGTGGGCGAGCACTTTGGCTACGATATATCAGCCTGCTGCATAAGTTCTCTGTCTGTTAATTTCTCAACCTAATCGAACAATTGTTTCATCGATTCCAAAAAAACGATCGTCGATGCGATTATCATACATAGGTTAGTAGGATTTCCCTGAATCGTTAATAAGAAACTGGTTCAATTTTAGACCGAAAGCGGATAGATGTTAAATAATGAACAGCAGCACCTTAATACCTTCTTCGAAGCGATCAAAGAACACGAACCCGCTCCGATTATTCCTCGTAGCCTCTCCCCTTTCGGTCCATGACGCAAATCCAGCTTGAATTTGTTCGATTTCTCACTGATTTACAGAGCTAGCTCCCTGGTTTCATAATATGTTAGGTGGAAAATAGATTCCGAACGAGCCATGAATCCGTTTCATTCTTGGTCGCTCGTTGCGTCAGATTTTGCAAATAGGAACAAAATAACAGTAAGTTCGAGCACACCTTTCTTACCCTGATTCTCGATGATCTTTCGACGGCATTTACCGTTCAAGATCAAGATATTAGGTTGCTGCATAAGGTCTCTTATTTTTATACCGTCTGCGAAAAAGAGAGTTCTATTGTTACTTTCAAGAATAAAAGATTCATCATTTTCCATCCCCGCATCGTATATGTATTAACTTTCGGACGGCGGACCATGGAGAAAAGCCTATTTAACTTTAGGCTAATTTTGTAAGTTTGGGTCACAATTGACCCACAAGTTTTGCTATTCAAGGTTTAAGGACAAATAACATCGAGTAATTATCGAATTCAAATATTTCTTGGATCGACAATTCAATTCCGTGACGAATCATTTAATACGATTATTCTGTGACATTACACGTTAAGCCGTGTCGAATCGTTAACTAAATCGGCAAAAAGTCACCGTGAAAAGAGGCAGGAAACGAAGGTGTTGCCAATCGATTGATGAATCATGGTTTTGTGTTTTTCACCGATCCAAGAACAATCGATCGAAAACTTTCTCGGATAATAGAATTGTAGCTCGCGTTCTCGAGATTCAACGTGTCGATTGTTTTTGCGTCCAGTTGTAACAATACGTTTGTCAACGGTGCGTTATACGGTAGGCTTCTCATACACGCCATTACGGTCACGATACTCTTCGAATATGTAATTTATGAGTTACACCGCGAATACCAGTCGTGTTCTTCGATCTGCATACAATGACCTACCGTGATACAACGAACATTGTCACAATTATTATCGGTGCGCGTGCATCGGTATTGATTTTTTCAATATTTCATATCGGTGGGTTTGGTATCCTTTCTTTTTTTCTATAAACACCGTGTGGGACACACGTGCTCGTAGGTATGGTGGAATTTAACCTTTCACCTCTTTTAAACTCGTTACCGTTTGCAAAAACTTGAATAACTTGTATATTATGCTTTGTTCAAAGGTTGTTTCTTATACAAAGAAAAATACAAATTTACGTATTTTTCGTATTCTCATTCTTTTATTTTTATTATTTCAACATTCAAATCATTAATTTCAATGTTTCAATCGACACTTTTAGAATGGACTGAAATCGCAGAAATTTATTAATCAGTACAGCCACGCCGTTGTTATTAAAAAGCATGGCGGCGATTAGGAAATGGAACACAGAAGAGACCACCGAGGGCGGTTAGCGTTGCAAGAACGATCTCGGCGACGCAGCCTTCTCTCATGATTACCGTCATTTCGATCCTAGAACATTATATAGCGGTGCATGCTCGTAATCGTGGTTGACGTTCGTGTAATCGACAGTTCCTGCATCATTTATTAACGTCTCTGGTGCTGTTGTCATCGCGTTTCCGAGTATCGTGGATCGTTCAGATCGAACGAGGACGATGGTTGTTTTTTCTAGGACAATATTGTGCAATTTGTGATTATCAATACTCGTTGCTTTTCTCACCATACCGGATAACTCGATAGAGAAAAGGGGAAAGAAGCGCGTTTAAGATCATCGTGGGCGCCCGTTTACGACAGCGCGCTTAGTTAAATCGAAATTACAGCTGTTTCTTCTGCATAACCGATTACCAAGATAAAAGTGTGTCATTTAAACATCCTTACTCGCTCCTCTTTTTCCTTTATTCTTATTTAATCACCGCAATGTAAGCAAGACCAGATTTTTGCATCCATCGACCTTGCCGCCCCCGTCATTTGCGCTGCTTGGAGCTTCTTACCTAACTGCAATTATTTCTATTGGTAAACCCAAGTTTTTTTGCGCGTTACACGCTTGAGCTAAGAATTTATTTTCAGCAGAATACCAAAAATAGAGGTGACAAGTTTTTAGAGCACTCTTTAACCGCTCCTCGCCGCGAATCGAATAGATATATCATCGGAGATTATCATCGGAATGCGAGAGGTTGAAGTCAAAGTCCTGTTTTGCGGAGGGTTTGCCTTTCGCAACGAGACGGTTCAGCTCGATACGATCGAATTTTCGAGGCGTTGCCTCGTTCCGAGGAAATAGCAAGCAGAATCGCTTTTCTCCGCGAACGAGCGCGGGTCAACGTGTATGATCACGCGTGCACGCGTTCACCTATTCGAGGGATGCAATTTGCATAAACGTTGCGTGCCGGTGCCGATGCCGGTGCCGGTGCCGCCTGTTGATCCACATTCCCGAGCACGCTCGTAATACGCGCAAGGTCCTCCTTTGTCAAGGATGAAAAATTCCTGCTCGATAGTCGCGCATACCAGCCCCCTAATTAGAAATAATATTTTCCTGACCCGAGTCACCATTGGTACGCCTAGCTCGTACCAATTAACGAAGTGCTCTTTCACTCTATTAATAACGTCGGTTGACGAGATGCGTTAGACGCGTTCGAATATGAAAATTTTTATGCAATTCTGTAATAAGACGTCTTAACGGTATAAATTGTTCGCCGTCCCGAGAACTTAAGCACGGTAATAACATTCTAATTGCTGCAATGGTAAATACGAGAACGTTCAAAGTGTCCTGTGCTGTGTTATTTCGACACACGACACTTTTACCGGCGCGCAGTGCGTCGAGCAAGGTCAAACAGTGTACCAAGACCAACGATAGAAGCAATTCCGTCGATTTCGTAAAACCTTTTCCAACTTTTCCTCGCCTCTGGTCGCGGTTAGGCCTACAAACAGTTAGCAGGCCTGGCATGCGTGCACGTGTCACGCGTGCACCTTAGTCACGTGCAGTCACCACTTTATCGTGAGACAGCTAAGGAAAAACTGGTAACCTGATTGTATCGCGTACGTATTCGAGCCTAATCGTCTGAATTGATCAAACTCGGCTGACGGAAGACCGAAGCACAAAACAGATAGACAATTGAATAAATTTCTATTTCCTTAGAAACTTTTCAAAGACCGTTAGAAATGAATATTTTGTGCTGATTTTTAGTTGCACAAAAAATTCGCAATAAACCGACGGTATGATCGAGATGATTAGCGAACTTAATCATGGAAAGCGTATTGGATAACGGCGAAGAACTTACCGGTTTATTGCGCTAATTCTCCTCTACTTAACTTGTTCAGTGGGCATCAACGTTTTAATTACCGTTCTATTAATGCAGTTTTATAACACGAAAATCACGAGCGCTTTCCAATTATGTAAGAAATAGTCGATGCATTATTAGAACGCGGTAGAGACTGGTTCCATGCTTCGTAAATTCGTGAATAGCGTTGAAATTATCGTAGGGAATATATTTTCACAGTTCCTTGGACGATTTCTTTTTTTCCTTTTTTTTTTTTCTATTGATACTCTATGTAGATCGTAAATCATCTATAAAAGTTAAACGTTAAATTGAATACCGTCATCATCTGCATTGGCCCCTAAAGGTAAGACGTTAACGTGAATTTTATTTGTTTCTGTTTGCAGAGAATTTAGCGCCGTCAGAATTGAAGAAATTACGGAACAAGCAGAGAAAGCAACGCAGAAAGGCTGAGTTGAAGCGACAACAAGCTGCTCAAGCACAAGAGAAAAGGGAGCAGCACAATAAGTCGCGACAACAGGCTGATCCCGATTTAGAACAACCCACGTTAGACGAACTTATACCGGAGAAACTGGAGAGGGTTAGTTAATAAATATATTCTACGAACAAAGTTTTCAGTTTTTTTCAAGATAGTTGAACATTAGTTGAAATGAATTCATTGCTTACAGGTCGAGGATCCATTGGAGCAGGCAATCAAATTCTTAAAACCTCTGCAAGAACTGGCATCGGACAGAATAGAGACACATCTTATGGCGTTTGAAATTTATCATCGTAAATGTGCGTAGAAATGATTAATATCTACTTAACATTTTGATGGCCGTTATTTAATTATTGTTACGTTAAATGAAGTAAAATGTTATCGGTAACGTTCAATTGAATGTAAAAAAGAATGTAAATTCGCAAAAGTTATAAATTTCACGGTATACTATGCGGCCGTCATAATGTTAAACGGATGACTATCGATGCATCGTCCGGTATACATAATCTATTTGTTTGATAAATGAAAAATATTTGTTACAGGTAAAACGTTGTTGATGCTTAGGTCGATTAAACGTGCACACAATCTAGATCCAAATCATCCTGATCTTCACACGTGTATAGTAAATTTTATATTACACATAAGCCATTTAGGATTAGAAAAACCAGTGGGCGAGGTCGTAAAACGGCAAACAGCTGGGATCTATTCCACATCAAGCACAATGTACTTTACGCTCTTCCACTTCAACGCTGAATTTCTGAAGAAGAATCGAAACTCACTGCCGCACCTTCTACAGGCTGCAAAGATCATGGATTTCTTGGATATGTCCCCTGTTCTCGAAGAGACAGCTCTCTCAGTGGTCACGAATATCGACAATCTCGAAGGTGTGACGCTAGAGAATTGTACAAAGGTGCTAGAATCGATGCGTAACGGTGACTTTGGGGATTGCGACGCCGCGATAGCCGATTTCATGGCAAAATGCCATAAACGTTTCCCGTACGCTACGGCTTTTCGGCCTCCGGAAACAAAGGCGACGACCAACCATCAGGAGAAAGAGAATTCTATCAAAAACTGATCGAGGCACGCACTGTCCAGCGTTACTGATCTACTACGTAGTTAGACGATGTAATTACGTGGAGGAGCGTAGAGCATTTACGAAGATCTACGGTGAAATTCGTCGAATGGAAGCGTACGATATAACGACGGACATAGTGAAGGGAAGCGAAATTGGCGGATTTAATTAATAATTATTACACATGTATTATATATACACGAACCGTTCCTGGAAGGTTTCAAGTAGTGCGAAAGAAACAGTGCTGGAACAGTGCTGGATAAACAATCTTAATAAATTATAATACGAAGAGGCGCGAGAACAGTGCCTCCGATGACATGGTCCCGAATTTTAGGTGAACGAAGAAAGGTTGGCTTAGCTAATATTAATTAACAATTGGAACAGATAGAATTAACTCCGCTGGTCGCTCTAACGACAAAGCGGCAACGCTAAATGGAAAGATCAACGGCAAAGTGTGAAATGTTTTAGTGTAACGGGATTTAAGGGAGGGCGGTTGAAATATGGAGGGATAATTACAACGGGCGGGGAAAGTACAGTGTGTAAATTATATGACGTGCGAAACTAACACATTGGTACAAAATACAAGACTTGTATACATTCATATGCGCGTTCTATGGATATTTCTACTTGATGTTAAAGTGTACTATTTTCAGCGATATCCGCATAAAACACTCTACTGTGTAGAGTTTGAAAACTAAGACGATCATCGAGCACCCGATATAATTGTACCGCGCATGTTCGTCGCTACATTTGAATAGACTTTGTTCCAAGTCATATACTATCTTCTAGTTCACTTCATTCGCGAACCGTTTACACAAAGTGAACATACGATCATAACGTTTTCCTTCTAGATACACTAATTTTATTTCTGTGTTCGAGGCCAGGGTAATGATCTACGTTTGGATTGGAGCCCTGATAATTCCATCGAGAATAGTCAATAACGAAGTAGTGTCCATTTGCGAAAGTCTTTGTGAGAGTTACTAATAAGAACAATAAAGTGCGTATTGTATACGCAAATTACCAAAGTATAAATACGATAAATCGAAAACAATAAGTGTTGATAGAAACAAAAAAAAAAAATATCATGCATCTGTATGTGAACGGATTACAGAAATTTTAATAAAAGGTAATGTTACAATTTACCGGTAAAAAATTAACAATGTTATATGCTTACCTGATTTATTTTTCGAAAATAACGATATATATATATATAAGTTGTGAATTTCCTTAAAACAAAAATTAATTGAATATTATACAGATACTACAAATTAGTGATAATGTTTGTATATATTTCAGCTATTACTTTAACAATATATACACGTATATATATATAAAACATATTTCCTATCTTATTTAAGTCATAGAATATAATTTACAACTGATACTATGACAGTGTTGAAAATTCGCTCGAAGTCAACTTAATTTGTAATTATAAAAATAAGATATTTAAATCGGCTTATATGGTAACATAATATTTAAAGTTTCGATTCACTCGCAAAGTAGTACATACTGGATAAATTTTACTACTTAATTAAAAATCAATCGATGGAATAATCTATGAGAATATAATAAATGCAATTATTGTTTCCGTAAATACCTTCTGTAAATGCATGGAATGTTTCTCAGGGCTATGCAAATAATATCGTAACGTAAGCGATAATATATATGTTCTACGCATTCATTGTAATATTAGTCATTTCATACGACGAAAGAAAAATATTATCATGCCAGTTTATCGATATACAAACTTCTTGCAAATAGCATTCATTCCTAATACAGATTTAATATACATTATTCACGATGTACCAAGTTTCCGACCATGCATCTACCGAAGTGTTACCGTTTGTTTATTAATATTTTCTTTTTTTTTCAACTCTTCCTGCAATCTTTCGCATAATCAAGGATCTTAAAAGATACGCATATTAGTTGCTCCAATCTTTATCGGAGGTTGTTACCTCAGTATACAAATTTCTATCTCTCATAAATAAGATCAAATTTAAAAAAAATAAATAAATAAATGATGCTGGTTAAGGATAGTGTATCAATTTTTAGAGGGTTCAGTTCAAATTTGCCTTTTGATCCTTCATTTAATCTTATGAATAAACAATAAGCAAGGATATCTCAACTTTTACTCTTCATCTCCTCGTGCAAACGAATTCATCATATAGGCTTCATACAAAGTTTTAATTTGTATAATTAATTTTTTAGAGTGGTTTATAATTCTATTAAAGGAAGTTTAAAAAACGAACAAATTAATGATCATTAAATATAAATTTTATTTCAATCATTGCATTAGTACGTGTTACTTCTATTTATAAGAGACTATTACATTGCCTTTTGAAGTTCGAGTTAATAATAAAAAAAAAAATATATATATATATATAATAATGCATTCAACAATAGGCAAATTTTTTAACAAATTAACACGTGTAGTATAAAATATTCACGTATTTTCATAACATCGAATATCTTTCTATATGATGAATTCAATCACCACGTATAATTACTTTCTGTTTGTAACTTTCCTCTATTATAGATGCCACTACAAACGTAAATAAAATAATATTTTAAGCGGGATATGTATAGTATGTACATGAACGTATTATCATCATCATATATATATCAAAACTCTATGTCCAATTCATCTTTGTTGTTATATTAATGACGAGTCAACGTGAAAAAATTATATCGCGTATCCACAATCGCCCTTCCTTCAGTCATTTTGAAAAAGCGGTAAATATTGTTACATATTTCTACCATACCATACTTCATCATACTGTACAGTGAACAGTTTGCAATATTATTGCAAACAATATTACCTTAATACTTCATAGTGTCTTTGTATTATTGCTAAATTCTTTCGCATTCTGTACATTATTTTATTTATTTTCCATAAGCATATGTGGTTAATGTTAAACATGAAAATAAGGAGACATGTAAAATTTTAACTAAAAAAGTGGTATTCTTCATTTTTGCCTGTACCTACTTCTAATACAATTTTATATGTAAATAATAGTAACTATTCTATTGACTAAATGAGTCAACATAAAAATGTTACACCACATACCCAATAATACCATGAGCCATATTTTCATGCGTTACCAAACAATTAATATTAGTTAAAAATCTGACCTTACAAAATGTCACAAAAGAAATGAAATAAATCATGAATACATATTATAAAAATACTGTTTATTATAAACATTAACATTATTATTATATTATTTTTATTATGTAAGTATGTTCATATACTCTCAAGTCTTTTTGAAAGTTCTTGGATCTTGTCATTTTTATCAACCTCAGAAAAATCAATTACAATCTGTTGATTTTTTGGAATATATTGCCTATAACAAGAATTTCAAAAATTCATATTACTAAACTTTAAAGATATGAGTACCAAAAATTAAAGTTCTTACAATTAAAATATTTACAAAATTTCAATATAAAAATAAGTATCAAAATAATTGAGATACCTATATTTAACACCTGCTGCATCAAACATTCTTTTTGCAGCTACAGTTTCCTTTTTATGAGCTTGTTTGTCAGACATGAACACAACTAATTTTATTCCAGATTGTATTAGTACTTTAGCACATTCATTACATGGGAAAAGGGCCACATAAATGGAACAATTTTTAACATCACTGCAATTCTTATTTAAGACAGCATTAATTTCTGCATGACATACTACAATTTTTATTATATTATTATTATTTTTTTTATTATATTAAATTATATAATTCATTAAATTAATCTTTAATTTAAATTAAATATTTATCTAATTTTTTAAGAATAAGTTGATATTTACTTACCATAATAAGACTTGTCTTGTAATTTATCATTATAATCCTTTCCCCATGGAAATTCATCATCGCTACAACCAGTAGGCATTCCATTATATCCAACGCCTAGAATTCTTTTTTCATCATTTACTATACATGCACCAACTTGAGTTTTGGGATCTTTACTACGTTTTGCTGCCAAAAAAGCAATTCCCATAAAGTATTCATCCCACTCTATATACTTTTTGTTTTTATTGTTGATATCACTATGAGAATGAAAATAGGATACTATTTACATCATACTAGTAATTATTACAGTAAACTTTATAATATTGTGTATGTTATACCATTTGGAATTAGTTTCTACAAAAATATCATTTTGTGCCATTTTTATGACAGCCTTTTATATTTATTTACAAAACACGTATAAATTTGTTAAATGTCAAAATTGCATAAAATTATAATAAATGACCACTGTCCCAAACTATGTATATATATACTGACATGGGAAGTATAACCAGTGATGCCAGAACCGTGGGACGTGGGACAAATCTTTACCCTCTCCACGACGTCCCACTACTGTATAACATACATATATAAAAATATAACCTATATATTTGGGAAACTAAGCTTATAATTATTGTATTTTTCACGAGAAAGTTCCCCCACCAGTAGATACATATACCGTAGTTCACCAGAGTCCATAACTGCGAAAAGACCAGTTTTCGTTTTTCGCGCTTCTCCAGTGCGCATCTTCGCCCTGATTGGCGATACTTCCAAACGAAGTGGAAAGCGATTAGCAGAGAGCTCGCTGCGTTCCCCCACCATCTTCCAACCTGCGCGTCGCAGTTATGGACTCTGGTGAACTGCGGTATACATACACCTTCGAGCCACTGCTTCGAGCACGCTCGACGTCTTTCTAGGAAAAATGGCGGTCTAAGCCAGGCTCCTTTTTGCCAGAAAACCCTATTTTACTCCCTTGCCGCCCTGCCCCAGGGGCGCTGCAAAGACTTATGAAACTTTAATTGCCGACAAAACGTCTTACAAAATGATCCGCGTGTGTGCCTGTAATTAATAATGACGATCAGCGACGCCTATCCTTGTTACTTCCGTTTAGATACAAGTTTGACGTTCCTTTTCCATTGGATAACTTATCTTTACAGCCACTGATTCGAGTAAAGGAATAGCCGACTGCGGCATCGTTATCAACCATTCGACCTAGAGCGAAGTGAAACATCATCAGTTCTATAGTGACCGCCGAGGGGTGCAGATTGGTGCAGATCTACCTGCTAAATATACATATACCCCTATTTTATTTTCTGCATTCATTCAATTTGCGTATAATTTGCGTACTCATTGTATTTATTTTTTTACCTTATTGAATAAACTCGTTTAGGAGGAAGAACGTGTTGATTTTATTAATCATGTATTAACCCTTAGGCTCCCTGATTCTTTTACATCTCTGCACCACTGTTAGATTCCCGATATTTAATAAATATTTTATTAAATTTTGGTACACGGAAATTTTACAAAGAACACTCAGGCTAGTTTTCTACTGCTTTTCTATCGGTCTCTCTACTTTGTGCTCACGTTAAAATCTAAACTGAAGGGAAAAATGTTCTGTATTTAAAAGGTCGGGAATTTGGAATTGAAAGTGGTGGGAATGAGGATTAGGACCAATAGGAATCGTTGGAAATTGGTAAGGTTCGAAGGGTCAAGCGAGTGATTCAAGGATGGTGAGTAAGGATTTCAAGGTTCGGATGTGTAACTGTAAATAGAAGATAGTATGGCTGGAGACAGATTTTAGATTTCACTTATCCTAACTTAAATACGAAAAGTTAAAAATATTTGCTTAACCTATGAGGTATCCAACACCACTTAGTCTCCCTGATTCCTTTACATCCCAGCATTCCTGACATCACTGTATCCTTTACATCCCTACTTTATTTATATCACTTCATCTTTTACATCTCTGCCAGCCTTACACCCCAGCATTCCTTACATCCCAGCATGCCATACATCTCTGCATTCTTCACATCCCTGCTTTCTTTCTATCTCTGCACTCCTTACATCCCTGCATTCCTTACATCTGTGCAACCCTTACTGCATTCCTTATATCTCTGCACCCCTCCCATCACGGCATCCCTTACAATGATGTAAGGTTTACATCACTGTGTCTCTTATATTGGAATAAATGCGCGTGAAGTGAATACAAGTTTGTCTTACAATTATTTTAATAATTTCGGTCTTGTACTGGTGTTAATTAATATTTATAATAAATAGAGTTAGAGGGAGTCAAAATTGTGTCTTTTCAGTAGCCTGTGCGAGGTATGGTAAGAGAGACTTGTAAAATAGGCCGAATTGTCATACCGACTGTGTTCCAGACATGCAGTCCTAACTGCGCTTTGGGGTATCTGGCAACCCAACATCATGACCCCTTGAGTACAAAAGCATGTCCAGTCTTGTTGGATCTGTAGTCACTGGTCACATGGACATCCTTTTTATAAGTTCTGAGATGTTAGAAGTTAATTTGTCACAGAAAACAGTAAAATGTAGAATTTCAAAAAAATAGCAATATGTATTTCTGAAACATAGTTTTAATATATACATAAATGCTGTAACTTCTGTATAATATAAGTATGATTTCATGTTTTTACTGTACTCTTATGAAAGGTTAAGCAAATGAACAGAGATAATGTTTAATAAAGAATCTTATTTATAAAATGTTTCAGATTCTGCACTACATCTGCAATACATTAAGTTATTTATATAGAGCTGAGTGCATGCTTGTGAAATGTTATATGTGATAAATGTCAATATGTCATTAATGTGTAGGAAATTATGTTGTTCTATTTTATATGAACATTTTGGGCAAATTGTTCAATGTGTAGGTGAAGATCTGCTTAAATATGGTACAAAACCATTAGGTTTAATTCGTAGTACAACAAAACTACCATTATCAAAGGTATAAATGTATATCTTTTAGTACTTTCATATAATACCTCATATATTTGTAATAAAAGAAATAATCTAATGTTTAGATAAAAGAAGCACTATGTGTTTTAATAAAATATGGGTTCGTTACTCATCAAAAAAATGAAAAGGCTGTAGAATATTCTTTGAGTTGTGAAAAAGTCTTAATGGTCCTTCGTTACCCAAGGTAATTTGTACCATATGTGTATATTATTTAACATTGTAAATGGGAATGAAAGTCCTAAACGTTATATATTTTAAATTTAATAGATATATGTTTTTTGTGAAAACAATTTGTGGAGATGAAAGTGAAATGATGTTAGAAGAAGTGTTAAAACATGGATACATAACAGCTTCTGATCTCATAGTAAAAACATATAAAAGAATTGAACAATTACCATGTATGTAAACTTATATTTACAATCATGTATAAAGATTACACTAGTATAGTTTGTATATTAAGTTCCTGTTACTTAATAACCCACTTATGATTTTAGCTGATTTACAACCATCGGTACCTGTTTTAAAAGATAAATTTGAATTACTAGTTAAAACTCAGTTTTTGATACGTAGTTTATGCGAAGAAGCAGTTCAAGAGACAGCTTTTCTTAAAACAGACTTTACAGTACCAGATTTAAATTTGGCTGCTATTGCTAGAAAGATAGAAGGGAATGATAATGTTGATGCGGGTGACGATAAAATTTATTGGAATGTTAATTTTGATCGATTTACTCAAGACCTTAGGTAAGATTTGCAAAAGTCATAATAAATATAAGACATGTAAAAAATTTTAAATGTAATCTATAGGGATCAAATTATTGTATCAGCTATGCAGAAAAGACTGGATGAAAATGCAGGTGAATTGATGAGGCAATTATTATTCCTCATGTATTTGAGAACAGCATCATGGGCGGATACATCCAACCCAATTCCTCTTACCGAGATAAAAGATGCTGTTAAAAAACAGAATTATCCATCGCTTACACAGTACATTGACCAATATTTACGTCTCATTGGTATGGATAATAGGTGTCTATGAAAGGTTTTGTAAAGTATTCAAATATAATAAATAATATTGCATCATGTTTAACAAGTGTATTATTCCAGAGGAAGATAGTAGTCAATTTATGAAGCGAGTTGGAGATTCAGGAGGTGGCCAGTATAGTGTTAACATGAAGGAAGCTTTCACTCAGCTAGCATGGACAACTTTAGAAAATATCGTGATGGAACGATTTGGCTCTAAAGCAGCGAGAATCTTTAGGTATGATACAAAGATTTGGTTTATACATTGTGTATAATGTAAATACAAGTTAAGTATTTTCGTTTTTCATTAACAGGTTAGTGAAGGATAGGAAGTATATTGAGCAAGAACGAATTCAGCAGTTGGCCATGATTCCAGCTAAAGAAGCTAAACACCTGACGTACACATTGTTACAAGAGAATTATTTACAAATGCAGGAACTAAAGAAACCTGGGGTGTCGGCTGCACCGATAAAAACTTTCTTTCTGTTTCATATAGATTTAAATATGGTTGTTCGTATGGAAATAGAACATTGTTACCATGCATTGTACAACACTATTCAAAGACGGGAATATGAAGTAAGCAGAAATAAGCGAATGATCGATAAACAGTTGCGAATGCAAACACTTACAAGTAATTTAAAAGAACATGGTGCTACTGAGGAACAATTAGCCGAGGTGCGTATACTTATGATTGTATTATTTTCACAAGTGTATGATAACAAAATAAATACATCTAAATTGTTTACAGATTGCAGAGCTGATGACACCGTCTGAGAAGCAACAATTAGGAAAAGTTCAAAATACAATTAAGAAATTAGGCATCACTGAATTACAGATAGATGATACTCTATTTCTACTAACAATGTATTTACGGTATCATTAAATAAAATTATCTTATATATAAAGCGCAAAGACGTTCTCTTCAGCCCTACATTCTCTTCAGCCCTACATTCTCTTCATTCCTACATTCTTTTCTTCTATACATTCCTTACATCGCTTCATCCCTGATATCCCTACATTTCTTACATCTCTGCCTCCCTTACATCCCTGCATCCCTTACATGCTTGTATCACTTATATTCCTGCATTCCATACATCCCAGTACTGCCCTGAAATTGAGTTGAAATTTTTGTGGCTACAAGGCCTGCGATTTTATACAAAATTTCCTTTTTTCGCTACCAGAGGGCGCTGATTCGTCATCGAAATTTTAGTTCACTTTTTTGCCGCCAGGGGGCCAGAAATAGAGGAAACTTTAGTTCCTTTTTTCGCCACCAGATGGCGCTGACTCGACATAGAAATTTTAGTTCACATTTTTGCCACCAGAGGGCCAGAAATTGAGCAAGCTTCAGTTCCTTTTTTCACCACCAGATGGCGCTGACTTGAAACCAAAATTTTAGTTGACATTTTTGCCGCTATGGGGCGCTGTTTTTCTCGAAATTTTCACGAAATTCTCACGAATCAGCGTCCCCTGGCGGCGAAAAAAGGAACTACTTACCTTTACTTACCTTTACTCGAAGCAGTCTTTATAATATATTTATTATAAGGGATGCAGAGATGTAAGGAATGTAGGGATGAGAAGAATGTAGGGATGAAAAGAATGTGGGGAGTTAAGGGATGAAAAGAATGTAGGGATGATAAGAATGTGGGGATTTAAGGGATGAAGAGATGTAACGGAACGAGGGATGTAAAGAAATTCCGTAGGAGTCGAGGGCTGGGGCCACTGTCTCCTCTGCACGCGGCCCGAGGAGTGCCGGTATCAGGTGTGGCCTCCGATGTCAGCGGAGTTTGGCACATGGCGGAGGGACAAAGGATCCTCCCTACCGCCCTAGTGCAGGCCACCGTGGTAGTTTTAGTGGGTAAAAATCCCAAACTACCTCCGGCCCCTCCACAGGGGGCTGAAGGTGTCTTTCTGAAGATTTCCACCACGTTAAAAAGAAAAAAAAAGGGTATTTGAGCATTGCAGGAATGTAAGGAATGCAGGGATGTAAGAATGCTGGGATGTAAGGGATACTGAGATGGACTTGGCCTATAATGAGGGATTTATATAAATAATTGAAAAAAGTAAAATACATGGGGTCCTCGGCTGGGACCCAGAACAGGGATATAATCATGAATGTTATTCCCCTTCGATGAGCTTATTTAATAAGCAAAAAAAAATAAATGAAGTAAATTAAATTAATTCCGGAAAAAAATTATACTAATTGTGTCCTCTTCATACGGACCTGATATTATCCAGGGGTGTTAAAGACCCTGTTGCGCCAATGATGCCCTCTGCGTACCGACCAGATATCATATTGGGGTATTAAGGACCCCGAAACGCCGATGACTATCTTTGCATACCAATAATATAGCATCCGGGGTGCCAGGGACCCCGAAGCACCAGTGACTCTCTGCATATCATCTTGGGGTGTCAGGAACCCCGAAGCACCGGTGACACTGTTTGCATACCGACATTTTGGCATTCGGGGTGTCAGGGCCCCCGAGGCAAATAGCGAAATATAAGACCTAAAAACGAACAAATCGTGAAACTCACTTGTTCGGGATAGTGATGGGTACGACTGGATCTAGCGAAATATAAGACCTAAAAACGAACAAATCGTCAAACTCACTTGTTCGGGATAGTGATGGGTACGACTGGATCTAGCGAAATATAAGACCTAAAAACGAACAAATCGGGAAACTCACTTGCTCGAGGTAGTGACGGGTACGACCGGATCTGTAGCGCATGCGCAATACAATTATTTATTGTAAGACAAACTTGTAAATAGTTAAGAAATTATTCACTCACAAATAATGAAAGTGATATATTTGTAAATCACAAACGATTTCCTATCAATTACAGTTATCAGTTATTACAAAATCTGTTTATTAAAAAAATTACTAAAAAGTTTCGGCTCACATCATGATTGAAATAAAATTGCTAATTACAAAAGAACTAATTTGTCACAAACGTTAAAAATAGACTCACAATCAATCACAAACGATTTACAAACGAAATACACTAAGAAAAATTAAAAATAATCATATTTTATTATTCCTTCCGGCTAGTTCATGTAGCTTCACCGGGGTCGCTGGCACCCCAAGGTAATATTTCGTCGGTGTGCAGAATTACTGGGGTTCCTGACAACCCAAGATGATATTGGGTCGGTACGCGGAGGTACTCACTGGGGTCCCCGACACCCCAACGTGATTTCAAGTCGGTGCGCAGGGAGTCGTCGGGATCCCTGACACCCCAGACGATATCAAATCGGTATACAGAGAGCGTCGCCAATACATCGGGGTCTTTGACACCCCGGACGCCATAATGTCGATATGCAGAGTATTACCGGTACTTCGGGGTCCCTAACACCCCAAGCCATATACGCACATATAGAGCAATGAACATAGCGCAATTTAAAACGCATTGCATCTCTAACTTTGAAAGTTGCTTACACGTAATGCGATCCTAGTTTTCTTTTAAATGGGATATCGTCACACAAAACGCTATGCATCGTTTAATGTTCAATTAAACGCGCATTATTACGAAAGAACAAATACATAATGTCTCGTTCATTTATATAGTTATTTATTTATGTATAATAATGGTTACGCTTGTAAAATACAAACAACAAAGGATACCTAACTTTCAAATTATTGTAATAAATATAATCATATATCTATGTTTATAATAGTGCTGTTCTCTATGTGATACAGTGCATTTGATGTCACTATCTATCAGGGAAAATGATCTTGGAGTACACACCTTTAAACGTTCTAACGTTCACATACACTTTCCATATAATTTACCTTTTTGATCTATGCGATATGAATGTGTGTAGATGTGTGTATGCATGTACGTGTGCGTGGGTGGGTGTATTGGTTGATTAGAAACAAATTATTAAGAGTTATGAATCACAGCCAGCTCAAGGTGCCTTATGGATCAGTAAATAAGTCGAACGCTGCAAAAATGCTATTATATAATTAGCTAGAACGTAATTTAATTACGGTAGAGATTGGTGACCATCATTTTTTGGTGTGTCCCGCTACTATTAGCACGTTTTACGTCCAAGTATGATTTTCCCTTAGTTCCTATTATGTATAATTTACACGTTCATCTTAACACTACCACGAACGAAGCCGAATTTCTCCGCTTATAGTACATATTAATCGTGGAAATTCAAAGCACATAATGTTGGTAGTGAAGATTCACCGATCTTAATGATAGTTATATATTTTGATTGTACGCTATTGACACCAATTAATAACGTGTACTACAGACTGTCACAAGTAGTGATAAGATGATCGTGAGCATGTAATCGCATTCAAACATGCATTTGATTGAATTTATACATACACACACACACGCTCTCGTTCACTCTTTCACCTTTTTCTCATTTACACGATACTGCATAACTATGTACACTGTTCGTACGTACAAGTTTCGTCTAGAAATAACGTTGTGTTACCTAAAACTAAGATTGAATTTCGGTAAAGCGTTATTTTATTATGTATATATATATATTTTTTTTTTTCATACCATTAACAACAACGTACATGTAAATGAAGTGAATTTGTGGAATATTGAAATTGGATGTTAGTGTTCACTTATCCTTTTTTTTTTTTTGTTTCGTTACGTTAAATACACTATAGTATTAGTAATGTATTCGTTTTACAATTTTACTATTCTTACAGCTTCTTGCATTCGCACTGGTTGCATTTCCTTTCTTTTAAGAATCCGATTAATTTACAAGCGAGTGCGTCGAGATTATCGCGAAAACGTTCGTCTCCGTACAAAAAAAGAAAAGAAACCAAAAACAAACGAGAAGATAATGGAAAAAGATCATCGACGAACTTTTTTCACAGGAATTCAAGGAAAAACGATCTTTTCTTTCGATCACTTGATCGCAATTCATGGAATGCAGAACTGAAATTATTTCTAAAGCAGAAGATCAATGAAAATTGTAGGAGAAAGACGCGAGTTGCACGGGGATGACCAAAGAGGAAGGATAAAGAAGGAATTGAAGAGAAACGAATTGTTTCGTGAAAGATTATAACGATATGGCACAACAGGAAACGATATACAAAGCGTCTTTGTCTCTGAACTTGATTTCTTGTTATTAATGTATTCGTAGGGCAAATAAGGTTGAAACAGTGATCTTTGGAGGAATTGGAATAAATGAAGAAAGAAGGGAAAAAAGAAACAGAAATTCAATAACTTTGAAGAGGCGCAAGAATCGGTTCTGGGGTTCGACGAAATATATTAATAATGATGAAAGAAAAAAGGAAGAAAAAAACAAAACGATGTAAAAAACATTGAATTTTTGCATGAACGATGAAATTTGAGTATTCGAGCACGAAAACGATCAACAAAACTTCGTGTCACCGCTGTTGTCGTCGTTTGAACTGGCACGTACAACCTCTATTGCTAAACTTATAATCGTTAAAAAAAAAGAGAGAGAGAGAAATGATATAATAATATTAATAATAATCATAATAATAGTACTAAATAAGATCGATGACAATAATAATTATCAAGGATAATAATAGACGTAATAATGACCGTGAAAATAATAATATGCATCGCATTTAACATCGTTAAATCTACGTGTTCTCGAGTAAATTACATATATAATATGTTTGCGCTATGCAGATACATCACAATATAGTTACACTGTACATTTAATAGTATTGACACTTTTTTTACCGCGTCGGCCCCGATTGTTTCACTTGTTTTCCCGATCGGTCGATCTGTGAACATCGTCGATGCACTTGTACAAATCCATGTTATATACATAAAATAAATTATTATCAACATTAAGCTATCCTATCTGCCGCCGGCCGCGGTATCGAAGATCATCCGACGAAACCCGGGCACAGATACATCCGAGGATACTGGCTCTCTTTATAAAATTATATTAGGTACCTTGTATAGAATTGCACTGATTATAAATAACAAGAAGAGGAAGAGAAAGAAGAAGAGAAAGAAATAGAAATAGAAAAAAGAAGAAGGAAAAACTGTGAGAAAAAAAAAGAAGTAGACGTAAAAATTATTTAATCGAGTTTCACGTCGAGCCAACACTGCCGACCCGGTACCGGAGGGAACGCGACCTCACTTCCGGCCCGCGAAAACGCTATTTGGCACATAAATATTATCACATCGAGCTCCCGATCTTTGTCACCCGGTTCGATTCGTTTCACAAGCGTTAACGAGACTTTATATACCTAATTAGTTTCTTCTCACGAAACGGTGTTTTTCTTTTTCGCTCAGCACTGTTCACGAGGGTTCACTAGACTTGCTGGACCCCTCATCACCGCACAACTCGAAGAATAAAACGTAACAGCTTGCGTTCCGGAACATTGAAAAACGAAAAAAAAAAAAATAACACAACGTCGTATTAAAATTTGATTATTCGTTCGTTACATCGTTTACAATAAATAACGGCTAATTCCCCTCCGCAATTTTATACAGAAGTAACATTGTACTAAAAATCGACGTCGCGCGTGCCTCTCGCTTTCTTTCTTCTTCCTACGTGTGTACGTACGTATCTCGATTGATTCTTCTCTTTACGTAGTTTCTCTTTATTAACTCTCTCTGCATACTTTTTCATCCTCCATCCTTAGGCCCACGAGTGTGTACACTGACAAACGATCATAGAATTATTTCTAACAAATGCTATTCAATAATCATCGTCGTACATTTTAGTCGATGCAATTAAGAAAACAATGAATATAACAATATTTTTTCGACGATCGTTTGCCAATGTACTTGGTGTCCTTACGCTCGTTCATTCTCAACTTGTTCAAATCCACCCCGACTAATCGTCGTTAACGTTAGGGTCCATAAATAAATGACGAAACAAAAAAAAAAAAAGAAATACTATAAGTACTAAAAGTGTTTAGATGAAACGAGACGTGACCACCGTTGACGAGCTGGTGAATCGCGTGACAGAGTTTTTCCCGCGTTTTTCCTGTCGCCCCTCTGTCCCGGTCCCCTCGTGCGAATATCGAATACAAGTAATTGCGTGCGAATACGGAAACGTGGAATATTAATACGATCTAATTGCGTGCTTTCCGTATACCTGGGAGATGCGATACAAACGGATCAGAATTTTTATTATTTTTTTCATTCGTTTCACGGTTTTTCTTATTCTCCCATTGCATTTCATATAGAAGACACGGCCGACCGGAATGGCGCATCGCTAGACACACACACACACACACACTAGAAGGAATAGGAACAAGACTTTTTTGGCCGCTCAACGTACCTTCACGCACGCACGTATACGTGTCACTATCGTCTCACGGTGTTCGAAACGCGATAAATGAGTTGGATCGAGAATCATCGAAGGAGATTGCATCGAATCGATCCTTCTGGCGCGCACACGTGACACATGGCAGTCTTACGAGAAATCAGGTATGTATATATATATATATATATATATTTAAATTTATTTATTTATTTATAATTCTATATGCATCTTGTTTCACGCAGTCGTACGTTAAAAGAGGCGCGAGATGGATACAGCAACGACGTTTTTCGTTACAATGAAAATTACTCGCGCGCACCTTGTTACCTAGAAACGTTAGCTAACGACGATCAAACCTTATCAGTTCGCAGTTTTGATTACACAGAAGAGAATACACCGTGTATACTTGCCGCCGTCGCGTTCCGCTCTACGTGGTACGGCTGACGGAGTAACAGAGTGTCTTGTTAGCTTACCCTGTCTCTCGTAACAGTAACAAGCAAGCAAGCAAGCAAACCGAGAGGTCATCAGCGTCCGTGCCGTGATCCTCTCGTTCTAATCTCATGTACACCGGAAACGTTCCCGTGATAGGTTCGTCGTTAACGGATAAGGAGACGAACCCCGGGGTGCATGAACCCTACGTTACGTTCACGCTCGGCTGTATCGCGACACTGTCCTAAGACCCGAGTACCGTACACGAGGATGCCATCGTTCTTCTTCTCCACCAGTGGCACGCGATGGATGTTAAGCGACGCGACGGCGGTTCCGTACGCGTCGTACGATGGCACAGAAATAAATCGTTATATCACAACCTTCTCGAGCGAGGCTTCGAGACGCTCGGTCCACTCCTCGAGAACGTTCTTCCCTTTTTTTTACGCTCGCGCGTTCACCACGCGGTTATCTTCGCCGCGGGTATCGCCAAGTCCCTCCGGCGTCGAACCACGAGGAGGAGAACAGCGTGCCTTCAGTTACCAGAACGCAACTCCGTGGCGGTGCTTTAACCTTGTCACTACCGTTGACGATGAAGCTCCGGGCGGCCATGGCGGCTGACCCGGAGCCGCGGTTCAATCCTCGTCGTGATGCCGTGGACTGGCGTCGTAGCCACCGATCGAGCCGGAATTGTCCGGTGAAAAGTCCATCATGTCCGACGGCGAGAGACTGTCCTGCGGATAGTAGAAAGACGGATGGTCGGAACTCGGACCAGCCGCACCTCCGTTCAACATCGTCGCGGGCGGCGAAACGGACGGCCTCGCCGACGGTCCGGCTCCCGTTCCCGGATGGTGTTGGCTGCTTAGGTCGGAACCGACCGGCGACAGGAAACTCATCTCTTGACCGCTGTCACGACACCAGAGCTGCCTCATTTCCTGCCGTCGTTGTCGCATCAACGACTTGTACTCGGAAATTCGCATCTTCTTACCGTCCACGATGCAGGTACGCTTCGGTCGCGGCCTGTACCTGTAGTCGGGATGCTTCTCCATGTGCAGCTTCGACAATCGAGATTGTTCCTCGTAGTACGGCTGCTTCTCCGAATTCGACATCGCTTTCCATCGAGCGCCTATGATAAACGAAGATTAATTCAATTTTCTTGCAATATGAAAAATTGTCTATATCAGCAGTTCTTAACCTGTGGTTCGTCAACTTCCAAAGGTCTAACTTTGAAACCCTTTGAAAACCTTTGAAAAACTTGTAAACGAAATACAGCACCAGGCTTCACATTATTAAATTACAATTAATGAGTAATATTAAGTCAATATTATTCTTTGTTCTTCTTCTTCTTATTATTATTTTATTCGAATAAAAAATATTCAATAGGAGTGTGTGTATTTATTTATTTATGGTAAATTTTTTTCCCTGAAGTTTGAAGATTTTGATGAGCAGTTAATGAGTATTTTAAATATATGCAAGTATTTTCGACATACTACAAATTTAAACTTTGAAGAATCTTAGAGGTCCGCGGCAAGAAAAATGAATCAAAGGGAGCCTGCTGTCAACCAAAGATTATGAACCGCTGGTCTATACCAATACTACTCTGTCAAAAATGCTTACCGAGTATTTTAGATATGTTCGAGTTGTGCATATCCGGGCAGGCTTTCAAAATTTTCCTACGCTCGTCCTTGGCCCACACCATGAACGCGTTCATAGGCCGTTTGATATGTGGTTTGTTCTCACCCTCCCTCTTCTGCTGTCTCACCATTTTAGCTGAACAGAGAGGAGACGTGTTAGATGTCAACTAGCCGCGATACTTGCCTCGTGAGAAGCGAATCTGATTTCGTGAGCATCACCTGGCGCTCTCGAAACAAAAGCGTAACGTCAGCCTCGCTGTTCGTCCGATACGACCGACTTGCTTACCTTTTTCCGTTATGTCTTCCGGTACCTTGTAACCCGGCTCCCGCCACACTGTAATTTCAGAATACCGTCATTCCTTACAATTCCCATTAGTTTTAATTCCTTACCGGTAGCTATCGGATTGATTAATTGCTAATTTTGCTGGTTAGTCTAACGCGAGAAGGATATTTACTGTGCGACGTGGAGAGATAGTCTTGTTCCTCTTGCGCAGCCTCGTCCCGGGAAGCGGAATGCTTCATAGGTCGTTGAGTTTGAGGCGAAGGAGGCATCGCACCTGCACTAGGTGGTAGCGCGTAGATCCCGTGCATCGCGAAGTGTTTCTCCACAGCTGCGACCGCGGCGGCTGCTGCCGCACCTCCCGCACTACCTGCTTCGTCTTTTGACATCACTTTGCCCACTGTAACAACGATCGTTTTAATAAATAAACGTTTAATAATTAAAATTTCTGGCTAAACTTTACTTTAACTCCTGCACCCTTTGGATAAAATTCTATGTAAGGGTAGACCGGGGGGCAGTAGTAATACTTTAAATTTAGAACACGATTACGCAAAGATTATTACACTTACAAGAAAATTCCTTATATCAAATCTTAAGTAGTCACCTGAAATTAATAAGCCATAGCAGTTTCGCTCTATGACGAGTAATATCCAAGTTATTATTAAAAAAATGGAGACCAAGGAAAGTTACAATCGTTTCCGACGCATAAATTTGGTAGTAACATAAATTTAACTTTAGAAATCTTCACAATTTGTTATAAAAGAGTTCTAATACGTCGAATGGCGAATGAAGGAGGTTCGCGAAACAACGATGAACGTTTTACGCCACTGTGCGAGCTAACAACGATGATCACCCGACCGCTTGTTCTGATATTACAATGACAGCTCGAGGAATCTGCGTGCTTGTTCCCTTTTTCGACGATGTTATCTTGGTATCGCGTTACGCGTCGTTGATTGTGCTTTAACCGAAAGCAAAAACCGGACGCGAAGGGGAACAGGTTTTCTTAACGAACTGAGGAAAAAGCCGATCCGAACACAATCGGTTAAACGATTGCGCGCATACCCGAACATAATTAACCGTACGTTTCAGATCCGGAGCCGGGTATTTCTATGGGGCATTGATCGGCTTTTTTTCGACGTGCATCGGCCTTGCTTGTCCACCGAAAAAGGGTACGCAATCGTTTTTTTCATCCTTTATTCTTTTTTCAAAGCCGCAGAGCGATCGGTGAATTGCACTCCGCGATTCGACACGGAATCGAACATCGATATTTTACTTTCGTTTTGAGAGGAATATCCGGCGAAGTTCGCGTTTGAATCGAGGAAACAGAAAAGTTTAGCTGCAGCTGAATTTTTTACATAATATTTCTATGCACCTCGCATTTCAATTCTTTCAATCGTGACACGAATCATTTGTGTAACTTTGCATCCTATCTGCTCGCGATAATTTGCGAAAGAAATTACTTACTTGGAGAGGAAAGGGTGCTGAGGTGCGGCGGTAATCCGGCGTAAGGAAGACTGGGCAAATAATTCCGTGGCATCGGTAAACCAGGCGGAAAGAGCTTCGGCGCAGTCGCGGCCAAAGGCTGCTCCTGCTGACCGCTGCTTCCGGCCCCGGTCGAGTGCGAATCGCTTCCGGGCGACGAGGAAGACGCCGTGGCCCCCGACGACGAGGATTTCGGCTTGGTAAGGTTCAACGGCGCGTCGAGATCCTGGAGAGGAGGCGCCGTAGGTGCGACGGCGGACGAGATCGGCGTCGGCGATGCTTCCTTCTCCATTTGCGTCGTCATTTGCGCCAAATGCGCCGTCGCCCAGCTAGGACCTTCCCGGTGGCTGCTGATCATCTGTAACACCGACGAACATTTTTTTTTAATTATGACTATTTGGTTCAGCATTGTTTATTTAAGGGGGCTTTCTTATCAAACGACAAGGAACTTGCATTTTAAGTCGGAAGAAGTCCTATATGATGCTGGAATAGCTAATTAAAGGTAAATCATTGAAACAGTACCTAATTTTGAGAAAACAAAAATGAGAATGCAAAACAAAAGTTTGAACGCGGTTCTTATGGACAGTGACTGCGTTCAGAAAAAAAATTATGGATTGATTTGAAAAATTTATGCAGTATTCGTTTTGTGGGTGAAATGGATACCGTGCGAAGCCATTGACCATTAACGCTTTTATGTACGAAATTGACTGTTTCTTGACAATTTTTGATTAAACTTGCATACAACATCGTCATATTATTCTTTTTGTCTCAAAATTTCATTTTGTTTTTTTTAATTTCAAAAAATCCTACGAGTTATGATGGATAGCGTTTTCATCCCCTGTTTTGTAAGTTGTACAGTGACCACTATCTACAAATGACATCACAATAGAGATCACATAAATAAAATATTTTCGTGTACTCGAATAATGTACAAATAAAAGATAAAAAGATTTTTCACAATATGTTGTATACTTTGAGAAAAGAAAAATTCCTAAAAGTCATCTAAATTTTAAGTGATTTAATAAGAAAGTCCTATTAAAGCAATTTCTTTTCCTTCTTTTATATTAACTGCAACGAAAGTTTATGCAAATCTATAAATAAATGCAAATTAAATGGCAATTTTTTTGAATGATCTATACAAAATATTATGGACGAGTATTTGAATGGTCCCTGAGAATATCGCTAGAATTATTAACGATAGGTTAATGGTACACTGAGGTATCCATTATCTCAACAGTTGCTCTTTAACACGACAAATAACTGATGCCGGTGATGGCAGATCTAGAGTTGTTTTTATGCCAACGAGAATGTTCAAACGAAGTCTCCTGTCTGTCGCTCCATGCTTCCGCGAACTACGATTACGACTTCCGGTGTTTCGGTGCAAGCTCAGTGAATTTTCTCTTCAATATTTTCAAGGATTATTTGCGAAATCAGCAGGAAAATAAATGAAAGATTATTTCAAAAAATTCGTCAGGGCCGTATAACACTGTTTAGATTCATGATATTAACCCTCCGCCGACATTCAAGCGAAATTCTCATTTTTCAAAACTTGCCTTCGAGCTTTTATTTGCATTTCAAGAAGGCTTAAACATTTCGTTTAAATGTCACTTGTATGTTAAATTAAAAGTTTTAATAAATATTTCACAATTTTTTTCAAATGTTTTTCAAGCATAAGAACAAAATGAAATCAGGCCCAAAAATCAAAGACCCAGTTTGACGGCCGCGTTAATAAAAAAGAACATTGCCAACGGATAGTTAACCAGACAGTATGAAGTCAAAACGCGTTGATATTAGTCCATCGTCAGAGCCAGACAATATCAAATCCAATTTATTTCTTATATCAAAAAGCAACAATGTCCAGTACACGATTTCACTTTTAAACAATAAAAAAATTACATACAAATCTCTGACGATTTCAAAATTCATCAATCTTTTGCACCTTTGATTTGAAGGTTCAGACTTAATACATTCTAGCTCTGCGGTTCAGATATGTATCTTCAAAACAGATATGAATACTCTGAAAATCGACCCCCTTACCCCTCGATTTTTTTTTCTTTCCCGCGATCACGATCGTGCGTCACCCGTGTCGACGCTGTTTGCATTTTTAATTCGATCGAGAGCGATCGCTTTAAAGTTTCACGGTCTGGTTAGTAGATACATAGGTGAATCGGGCAAACGGTAATCAAAGTTGAACCACGGGAACGGGGAAATTGGGATTGCGTTGGGTTTACGTACGTTGGCGATCGAATTGATATGTTTGTTGGTGGTGGTGGTCGACGTGGCCGGCGGTGGTGGCATAGGCGATTGCACGGGTAACCCTCGTAGCTGTTCGAGAAACGGTAGGAACATCAAGGATTGCGGCCCCGACATGTTCAGCTGGCTCTTTGTCATCTGAGCTTGTAGCTCCTGGATGTTGTGCTGCATGATGTGCTCTTGTTGCCGCTTCAAGTGTTCCGTTTGTAGCCGCTGTATCTCGATTTGCTTCTGCGAGTCGACGCTCATGTGCACAGGATACGACTGCAAAAGCCACGGGACGAGCAATTAGAGCAGGCTTATCCACCGCGATGCCCTGGAGATTCAGGGCGCCACAATTTCAGATAAGACGCGGCGCAACCACGACAGAAATGGTAACAAGTATACAGAGTGAATCATAAAATTATTCCTGTCCAATAATTTTTATTGCTTGGCCGATCGGTTTATTCTTAATGGTGTACGAACAGTGGTGGTTGTATTAGAAAAATTTCATATTTCAATTGCGACATCGATGGCAAGCGAATATTAACAAATGTCTATGAATATCATTACCCGGTTCAAACTTTCAACGAGAATACATAATTTCTTCTCCATCAAACTTTTGCTCAATTAAAATACAAACTCGTAACAGTGGTAAGCTATGGAAAGAAGGCAGCGAGCCTTTGAACGCCCATAACGAGCTCGAGGCATGGAGCAAGGAACTACAAAAAAAAAGTGAAGAAAAAGGGAGGAAAAAATGGTTTTTCATCAGGATCGATTCTTGGAACCTGTTCGTGATCACAGTTTCCCAGAAAATGTAATAAGAGGTGAGCGAGTCGAGGTATTAATTTTAATAGCTGGTTATCGGCCGAGTGAAACGGAAGCAGTAACCAGCGGGGAAAGTCAGAGACGAAAATGAACGTCAACACCACCGAGTGATAATACGAGCAAGAAGGAATCTGTATTGCCTTTAACACGCGCCTCTAATCATTCTGGTGGCCGTGTCGTAATTACAGCATGCGTTCGTTGCTGACAGTATAATACCATCAACATTGATCGTTATTAAACGAGACGATAATTTACCCGGATATTTGCTGAATAATTTGAGAAAGAATTTTTCAATTTTTCCATTCGCTCCAATAAAAATCAAGTTTACAGCCTGTTGCATATTTCCTGCGAAATAATTCCCTGGATTCTGCAAGGATCGGTTATTAAAACATATTTGCTTACTGCTTCGGTTACACTACCAGTTTTAAGAGAGGTAATTCTTGTACATAACATGTCGGTTTTTACGCGTTCGAAACTAAAGTCTCGATGACAATCGCGTTTTTATCGCTTTACGACTCCCACAGTAAAAATAATGATGCGTACTCGGGCACAGGATATTATAGAACTAGACGCTTTGATTATGAATTTATGAAAATTCAGCATATTAATTTCCAAGCGATTTTTTGTGTCGATAATCACACAGCGGTCGCTGCAACAATCGTATTGTTCGAATAATTTACATTGAATGCGCGTGAAAAAGTTCAGATGTTTTCAATTGTTTCATGGTTACCATACAAATTACTCGTTGCATAACGCGTGGAACACGTGGAAGGGAGATCATTAAATTGCGATCAGATTATAAATTAAAATTAGTCTTTGAAATCGTTTGAATTCTTTCACTGTAAATTACAATGAAGAATAAATTTAATCGTACATTTTAAATTTATATAAAAATTAATCAAGGAATGCCTTTATTTCCTTCAAAAATTCATAATGGCTAATATCTTTTTTATTGATATTAATAATCATTAATGAACGTATTTACTTCCTAATAGAGCACCATTGTTAAGATACTGCTTATAAAATTCACAATGGGTGATCTCATTTTTATTGAAATTAATAATTATTGAAGATTGCAATTGCTTCCTGATAGAGCAAGATTGTCAAGACGTTTCCTGAAAAATTCACGATGGCTGATCCCTTTTTAACCTTAGCCTTTACGCGCACTCTTACAAGTATCAGTTTCTATTACTCGATGTGAATAGATTATCGGCGCACCTTTGGCTGCGGTGTAACAATTCAACGTGGCTAATATCATTGTATTTTCCTACGACCTGGCTGAGCTCCAGATATGCTTGAAGTTTAAAGTCTATTTTAGACGATAAGGAAGACGTTTATTCATCCAGCCTGGGCACCAGCTGAAACGTCACACATGCACGATATTAGACGCGCTCGCGTCCCTCTTCCCTTGCTCGCGCCTTTCCGCGCGCGATTATTAATCCTCCACGTTCGATGCGAGATCGCTGTTGGTGATTTACGATCACCACAGGACACCAGGTTTCGTCGAATAATTCGTTCGTATTCTCCGAGCTAGTAACACGTTCTCCTTTCCATTCAAAACGACCAGAAAATAACACACAACCTGATGGATATTTGCTTTTGTTTCGACGAACACCCTTCACGTGACAACGAAGAACTTCGAATTAAATAATGGCTCTAATAATGATATCTTGTTCGAACCACGGGAGCTAAGGATAAAATTTCGCCATTTTATTTTGACGGAGTGACGATCGGTAATTTCGGTGATCATTTTAGTACTAGCTTCAGTTAATGGAATATTCGGTAAAATTTCATTTAGATAAATGAAATGAAATGAAATATATGCGATTAACGCTTTATTACTTAACACGTTCGCTGCCAGCACTCGACTGGAAATTCGTCGATCATAAATCGCTTCATTCTTTATAAAAATAACAGAGTGTAATTTTGCTGGTATTTAAAACCGTTCTACCAGTTTCATTTCTTAATTATTCGACGAAAATAAATCCGTAGCGTGACTGTTGACAGCGAACATGTTAATAGTAACTATAAATTAGGAAGAGTAACCTATATTATCAAGGTCCTCTTAATTGTAGCGCACCTACATTTCATTCTTTCGATTGAGTTCTTAGACGAATCGTTAACGATCAAACGCTTCTTAATTGCTTTTCAGTCAACGATCATTCATAACAAGAAGTCTATTAACAGGGTTTTGATCGATTAGGTGTTAACGCTTGTCCAGTAATAGAAAGTAGCACAATGAACAATCCACCTGATTAATGAAACGATCGTATCCTTAATGATCCTTATTAAAGTGTGCCGTACTACATACGCTCGTTTTCACTGTGCCAGTCAATATGTTAAACAACCGAATACCATTGTATCGTATGCAGGTACGATTCTAACGGTATCCCGTAATTTACAAACGATCAAACGTTCTTTATTCTTTATTCTCGATTCATCATTTATTATTATCGTTTCTCATACATTATACGCGCGCAATTTAATTACCCTATAAAATATCAATGTCACACATATATCAGCTAAGAATAGATCATCTGCGACGAACAATGATAAAAGAACAAACGTACGACCGTAATCGATCGTCTTTTATAGAAAACGTGTTAAACCGATCGAGATCCTTCGATCGAGCCTTCATTGTCGCTTTGACATTTTTTTCACTGATTTAGTAATGCGGTAATTGCCCATTTTTTTTTTATAAATCTACATATTCAAAGAAAATCTGTATGGAAATGTGTCCATCAATGATAATTATTATTACCATATTGGCTCTAATTACCGCTATCTAAGTCGTTATGAGCGTGCGTGCATTAGAAAAAAAAGATAACTTTGTAAGATAACCGCAATAAAAAAAAAGAAACATTGTATTTAATTATTTCATTTATTTGCGAAGATTGTGTATGACATCGCAATCTCGCGAGAATCAACGAAAGAGGGAGGAGGTTTTTCCGCTCGTTGGCCGGTGCTGCCGGCAAGAATGGCGGCCGAGCTTTCATTAACAGATTCGTGGTGATCGCGGTCGTGGCCGCGAGAAGATCGCTAACAATGTCTGCCAGTGGACAATATACCGGCGAAGAATTTCGGGAAGGTTGCGCGTTCGTAGGATCGAGTACGGTGAACGATGCAGCGAATGGAACTTCATTATTCATTTGCAAAGTTCAGTTATGCCGATGATACGTATCCATGACAGCTATACCGCCCACAGTGGCTAAATATAAACAGGCGGGGTGCCAGCAAGTTCCATTCACATTCACATCCACACGGGACGAGGCGGTTTAGTAAGTGAGCATAAGAATATGAGGAGCCCCGTTCTGAATATGCATCCGCGCATTGACGCCAACTGCACCGCCTAAACTTAGCCACGCAATTACCGAAACATACCTACCCCCATAATCGCTCTTCGCCCCCCTGGTTATCTCTGTTGTCGCTGTTTTCGATCGCCCGCTATCATACGATCTACGTTCGCGAAAGAGCAAGGGAGAAAAATAGCCATCTTTTGGCACCGTCAGAAAAGGTGGAAAGGAAAAATTCACGAAGGACGTTTAACTGTGTTGTCGAAGAAGGGTTAACACTATCAGTTGGGAGCATTTTTCTGAGTGATGAAAGAATTTCAAAGAATTTCGAATTGAATTTGACCGACAACCATCAGTAAGGAAAGTATTCGGAGCGATTAGAATAATTTCGCGAAGCGTGTACGAGCGTTGTCGGGTCGGCGAGGAAAATCGAGACAGAGAGCGTTTACTCGCGATGGACCTTTTGTCGCGGGCGAGTAACTGGTAACGAAAGACGAAGGCTAAAGGCCACGAAATTTGAATCTAGATTTAGAATCGGAGCCACTGGAGTGCAAGGGGACATGCAGGGATGACGTAGATCCACCGGAAGTGGTTCATACTTCACGTGCGTTATAAAGACTGTCACTGTGGCACTGTCTAAAATTACGACGGGCCAACCAACACAGTGGCTTTAATACAAGCCGGGCGAAAGTAAGATCGAAAGTACAATGTTCGCGAAACGATCTGCAACAATAATCATCCCTCCGTGGTGTTTATTTAAAACTCTTTTATTCCTAATTGGAATTTTTCATTTCTGACGAGCAGCTACTAAAATTCCTTTCTTTTCATTTAACCCATCCACAAATGATTGCATCAACTCGAATCTTTTATCAATCCTCCCTTATAGTAGACTCGCAGATAATCTCGAATTACAAGCGTGTAGACAAATCTGATTGTATAATCAATGAAAGTCTGTAATTTGTAAAATTGTCTAGTGGAAGAGTTAAAAATCGATCGAACGGAACGGATGCACATATATGCTCGAACGAAACGAATCCCTCGTGAAATATACAACAGGAAACAACGAGGCACAGAAACGCGACAAAGAGAACGTTGGTTGGGCTGCAACTCTTAATGGAATTTTAAAAGAGTGAAGGCCGGAATTCGACGACACGCAGGGGTGGC